GGAATTATTATTATTATTAATTGGTCCAGAATGGTGGACTCGATTTTCTAATTTCTTTCACAATGTGTATTTTTATTTATAAACCTATTTGAAAACCAAATATACCTAGTATCAAATCAACCAGAAGGCTTTTAAAATAAATAGGCCCTTAAAAAATTAACATAATCAAAAACTTGTTTTTTAGAAAACTATATCATTTTCTTCACTTCAACGAGAATTGGTGTTCACCTCAAAGAATGATGCACACTGAATAAAATGGTTGAACAGACTTGCCACACCTATGCATATTATTTAAATCGTTCTAAATCGATTGTAAGGCCGTACATAATTACATCAAAAGAAAAGTAATTAGCAAATCTACAGATTTTGTCCAAATTACGAGAGAAGTCGCCCTATCAAAGAATTTCCCGTCGCCTAGAGTCATCTTTGAGGGTGGGCAAGACCTAACGAATCGCTTCGCCCATCTTGACACATTCATCTCTTGGAAAATCTTTAATATCTTGACCGACTTGACGAAGGGTTTGGCCATCATTTTAAATGGTCCAACAATCACCATAAACATTTGAATTGCTACAGTTCCCAATAACACCAACACTGGGACGGGAGCCACAGACGAAGATGTTATCAAAATGTACAACGTGCAGCTTTCACACACTATGACGCCTCCGAGCAGTGTTTGCATGATTGGTTGTCGCATGACGGAATTGTGCATGGCGGACAATATTTGCACGGTCCGATATGTGATGAGGTAGGAGGACGTGATTCGCCATCCGCTGAACCAATCACTGCAATTTTAAAGAACTTTTTAGAGTTGTATTTTGATAATTTTTGCCCAAATGCAAGGTGCAATAAGTCCAAAGATTTTAAATCTCACTCCCCCAATTCAATGTGCAAGTTTTTGAAATTGCCTTTGTTTAGGTTTCAAGCAAATGCAACTTATACGAAAAAAATTAGTTTTAGCTGCTACATAACTACAGATTTAAAAAAATTACGAATTGGTTTTTAAGGAAATTCATTGCGAAATTTATGGCAAATTAATTAGAATTTTTTCCATATAGTACTCGTCCTTAAAACTCGGTCACTTGGTATTTTAGCGGGGGAGGGGTCAAAAAATAAATTTAGAAATCTGAAATTTGTGTAGAATATGCTAAATATATCTAGTCATATAAATCCGCGACCAAACAAGACTTGATTCCATTGATCATCTCGTATTTAACTTTTTGTATCACCCCCGCCATTAGTGCTTGTCCGGAAGACTTTGCAACTTCATTCTTAATTTTCACAGACCGGAACTTAAATTTTCTTGAAGTATCGACTGTTTCACAAAGCTTGGACTACTTCTTCCTGGATAAATTCCAAATTCTGATTTTGGGGTGAAGATGATGGGCATTTGAGTGACTTTCATATTCCAACGCCAAACTGACATTTTTGTCAATTTCTTCATTCGCAGTTATTGCATGGTGGATCATCGCAAGGTCGGGCTAAAAAATTACATTTTTTGTTTTTGATACTCCTTGATGGAAGGAATCAGACGGTCTATCTCACATTTCTGAAAACAAACCTGTGCGCCCACACAGCCCTTGTGAACTTAAGGGTCCCAAAAATGCCCAAATTCGCCCAACTACGGAAAAATCTGGCATTTTTGAAAAAATTTTGAATTTTAATTTCTCTTCTGTTTTCAGTTGTGGGATATATTTCCCATAAAAAAATTTCCTTCCCGGAGTTTCTGACCTGTTTTAAAGGACGTAATACTCGTCATCAATGGACATATTTTTTGGTGAAATTTTGTTGTAAAGCTTGGGAGGTCTTGCGTTTACCATTTTTTGTTGACCTTCCGTATGTTTTAGTGCAGATTTTTTTGCATACGCTTTGACCCACAATTTATGGGCTTTAATATGATACAAGTGGTTTTTATTAATCTTTTACTTCTTGGCTGCATCAGGCACTGACGTGGAGTGGCATTTTCCAAAAATAAATTCACTTGTTTTTCACTGTTGAGGGGTCGATATGATGGGTTTTCCTCATGGTACGTATATAAGGTTGACATTTTCGGATTCTCCATACTTTTTTATGTAGGTCTTAAATTTTTGCATGCCCACCCCCTTCTCCGCTGAAATGTAGTGAGGCCTTCTCCGAGTCTGTCTCCAACAAATTCTGGTACTTACAAAAAACTGGTTTCACGAGTTCGTCGCTTTGAAATGGTGTACGAAACTTATTTTTCATTGAAAAGGTTTGAAATTTTGAGCGTATGTTATTAGATACATTTACCATATTCTATAAAAATTTCAGATTTCTAAATTTATTTTTTGACCCCTCCCCCAGTAAAATACCAAGCGACCGAGTTCTAAGGACGAGCACCTTATTACAGGTTTTGCAGTCCCAAACATTAACTTTACGTTGCACAAAGGAAAATTTAATTTATCTCAAAACTCTAAGTTCTTGATTTAGAAATTTGTGTAGAAAACAAATTAGTAGAAGTAGACCGAAATACAAATCTACCACGCATCAAATCTTTATTAAATGCGGCCTTTACCTTAGCATTTTCTCGAGAATTATTAGCTTCACAACGGTAGGATATATCAGCACTAAAGGAATAACGAAATCAACGATGGTCACAATTGTAGCTGAAAGCCAGGCTAATAAAATAGCCGAAAATATCCTGAAGAGGATCCCGATATCTCCCTCGTCCCGCCACGATTTACTACACTCCGAGACAAGCATACTCGTCAAAATCGGCGGCATGCAAGGTCGCACCATGGCAAACACGAAGCCAAAAATGGGCATAATGAATATCCCAATCTTAAAGATTGCGACGAAACCGACATAAAATATGTGTACGGTTTTTGTTTCTGCAAATACAGATACACTTATAAAATAATGTTGCTTCTTCGAACAGGGAAATGTAGTATGGATTATATATTATGTAAACTACATACACTAAATCCAGAGTAACGTTAACTTAAAAAAGAATAAATACTTATATGTAGTCAGGATTTAATATGGTTTACATAATATGGAATTCAGAAGGTATGTACTGTACAAAACGTACATTAGTAGCGGAATTTTTAAGAGTGATCAAACGTAACTAACAATTTATGCATCTATTTAGAAAAAACCTCACCTTTCGCGTTGACCTCTCGTTCCATCTGCATCGCAGAATTTAGTAACGCTATAGTCTCTTCTTTAAGGAATGCGAGGTGACCTATGAAAATCAAAACGGCGACATACAGCGTAATGCAGTAGTAAATGTAGACCAATTTCCAAGTTGATATGGGGGACTGATTGTCAGGGTACACCCACTGGCCTAGCCGCCATTTTAAAGTAACGGCTAAATGAAGCAGGATTACTAAAGTTGAAGATACACGTTGGTACCTTTTAGAATTCGTTGTGGCAAACTGGTTTTCATTTATTGAGAATAACAGCGGGTTTGGTAGGAGCAGTATGACTTTAGAAAGGGTAAGTACAGGTGTAACATTGGAACCGGGTATCAGTACGTCACGAAGCGAGGTAAACAACGGAGTCGCGTTGACCATTTTGATTGACTTGAGTGCGTTAGAAAAATGTCGCAAAACTTTCCCGTGGTAATTTTCCACCTAGAAATGTATTTAGAACAGGACCAAAAAATATGTATGTATGTACTCTCCATTCACACACAATTGAAAATTTTACAGAAACTGAAAATTCTTCATGGAAACTGTATATGCAAGTGTTAGTCTCAAATTTTCTCAAATCATGTGGACAGGGGAATTTAACACTGCCCACTTTCAAAATTTCCGTAAATTTCCTACTCTACATATATGTATGAGCGTAGTAGACGTTGCAAAGCCAAATTCAGTTTTAACTATGGCGAAGAATTTATAAATTGTGCTATTTTCTTGATTCTATCGACACTTTCTTATGGTTTTTTCTGCACTACGTACATTCGTACATATGTGAAAAGAAGCCAAATATATGTAGCTTGTCATAAAGTATATATATTTGGGTACATAGCTTTAGCTTAAAACATGCAAAGTAGATTTTCTATTTATATGCAAATATAGAGACATTCTGAAGGTTTAAATAATTTGACATTTAACTCGATACTTACTGCTTTGAAGAAATAGATATGCCTTCTGCACAGCCTAAATGAAAATTATGATGTAAGTTTTAAGTAGCTTATCGACCATGATATAAAATAAACAAGTAAAATTTATGCGTTTGATGGTTCAAACAGAATGTCTGCATTTGCATAAATATGTAAAATCCGTTACATACCTGAAGAGGGATTTCATTACAACGAAAATCGACCGCGCTTATATAACGAATGCCCGAAATGTGTTTCTTTATATCAATTTTATTTAACTAGTAGGAAGTAGCTCGGTAAACTTGAAGTTTTACAGAAGCGACATGATTTCGTTCGAGGAAGAATGCAAATTGAGGAAATTCTACTTTTAACCAATCCAACTTTGCATATGGAATGAATCAATTTGCGTAAAAATGAATTCGTCTGTGTATTTATATTCATTTGTCTTCTTGTATTTATTTTTTACAAGGACAAGGTTCAACCTTGTAAATAGATGCACGTACATACATATTTACATACTCAAGTCCATACCCATGAAATTATCTGTAAGTTGGTACGTTTTCGCTATAACAATGCATATTTCAGAAAACTTTAAAAAACGTCGTATATTAAAAACAACTGTATACATATACAAACATACGTCGGGAAGTATAAGAGAGAAATGTGGATTGTTATCTTGGTTGCGGTCCATGATAATTTTGATAAAGAAATTATGCGGTGGTACGACATTTATGTAACTGAATTTTATGCTACCCGACAAATATGTAACCCGACGAATATACACTGAAATACGTTTACATAAATGTCGTTACATGATTGTCGGTTACATATTTGTCTTTACATATTTGTCACCCCGTCCCTGCCTGCGGTGATACGACAAATATGTAAACGACAATTATGTAACGACATTTATGTTCGGATTGGTACTAATGATATGTATTGATAATAATTAAATTCACAAATGATGACTTTATTTTCTCTGATTAAATATGTATAATATTTAACTAATTACTGTAATGATTAAACTGGGAATTTAGAAAAAGTGGTAGATTTTATGGTAAAATCAATCAATAAAATTAATATTCAGATTACAATTTTGAAAAACACAATTTTTTTCACTGGACACAAGTCCAGTTTGAGACAGTTTAATCATATTTTGACTTAATATGAGGTGACGCAAATATGTAGATAGAAATTCCGGTCAGCGTTTTTGAACCAGAGGAAAATTTCACAAATTTGAGAAATTTCACCCAAGGTACACGTCTGTGATGTTTCCCACCCATCCTGTGACGTTTCTCAGTTCTTGACCCAGGTTTGAAACGTCGTCTCCCACAACCCCAACCACGTTGTTTAACAGACCGGAAAAGGTAGGGTTGTTCAATTTTAAAAAATCTCTTTAAAAAACTCTCTTTTTTAAGATTCAACATTATTACGTAATAAATTATTTACCTGCGCAGCAATAGCTAATTAAAGCCAGAGAGAGAATCAAGATAAGAGTTAGCTTTAACATGTCTGCAATATTTTTATTTAACGAAGTATTTTTTAGAAAATTAAAAAAAAACTTCGAGACGTTGATCGTAGATTGGGAGCAAAATTACGATTGAGCTTTGCTTTTGAGATGATCCAAGTGTAAGCGATCCCATTTCGTCCCAAGTAAGTTGCTTAACATGTCGGTCAGGGTTGTAGTAATAAATTATTTAATAAATAATACGAAAAATCTAAAAACTAAATTGAGTAATTATTTTGTTCAAATAAACTTGTAATTGGGGGATTTAATTTAGTCTTAAAGTAATTAATTAATGTTAAAAGTCTAGAATTTGAATAGGTATTATGCAACATATTGAATTGCGAGATCTATTTTAAACGATCGGGAGGATTAATTTTGTTCTTAAATAGATGTCCGGTATCAATTACATATTCACCTTTCCTTGGTTCGTTCTAGTTGGTCGAATACTGATTAATCAAAATTTTAATCTTTAATTACAACTCTTTAATACATTAGCCTTAATGGTTATACATACATATGTAGAAGTTTAATTAATTTTCAATTGGATAATTAAATAATATCCAATTACGTAAATTCATAAAAGTAAGTAAAGTAATTTATTTTTTAAAAAATCCCGATGATACAAGTGTAGTATTGAAAGCTTGGAATAAATATATCTGCATTAAAATAATCTATTTCTAATAGTAATTAATTTCTATATTGATGTAATTATTTAGTAACCGAGTAATTATGTAATTACTCAATTAATTAGTCTCGTCAGGAAACCGAAATTATTAATAAGTAATTATGTACATAGTCAATTAATTAAGCAACCCTGGTGTAGATTTAGATCCTTAATCATATTAAATTTTTAAGTTGCACTTGTGGCTTCATAAAATTTTTGCATAGGGCATTTGCACGCAATAATGGCACATCATTCCAGCCTTGTGTGTACATGCATGCATACACAAAGCATGCAAACACCGCATGGATCGCGAGTGAATAGCTATTCATCATCAATACCTACGTACACGTGTTTAATTTAGTCTAATTTAGTGTAATTCAAGTCGTAATTTAGCATGGGTTTGGTCGCCTGTTTTCATGCCAAAGTCCAAATTTTGGACTTTGGCAGGAGAGCCTAGGATGCCAGGATAAATTGAATTAAATTACATCAACCTTGATTGGAGGCCAAGTTCGAAGTTAGCGAGGAAAGTGTAATGTCCACCAATGATAGATACGTCCAAAATTAATGTAAAAATCCCAAAAATATGAACATAAAAATATATGTATTTTAATACATTGTCAACGAATTAAATCCGAATTTGGTCCGAAATCCAAAAATTATAAAATTCGGAACGGATTTTGCAGCTCTAAGCAAAATACAGATTATATATTTCTACATATCTATGTATATAAATATAAGTATAAATATACAAGTACGTATATTTATCTCAATATTTTCGACAACCGAAATATGTGATGCACTAATAACGAATTTTTAAAATGTAAAGTCAATGTTTAACTCAAGTTTACTCACTCACATAATCTAATCAACTCACGTTTTGGGAAAAATATGATGTTTTAAATTCTCATCCGGCTTCCCACCTCTTTACATCCCCAAAGTTAATTATCTTTTGTCTACCTTGCCCCCATCGCATGAAATCTCACCAAATTTGGAAAAATTGCTATCACCCTGTCCCAAAATTCGGAGATCTCCCCCGTCTCGATGCAGTCACAAAAGGCTAAACACCTCTCCCCGCCGATCCCTTTATTAAAACAGGGCGGGTACGGAATGTCCAATTTCTTAACGGTCAAACCCTTTGAATTACTTTCGTGGAGGAAATAATTGTACAAAAAGGCCTTGCTCGTCGCAAAATACTCCTGCTTCGTTAACACATTATTCCCAAAATTTGAAAAATGTGGGTCCAATTCCATTTTCGAAATGCGAATCGTCTCCAAAACTGGGAACTGGACTGGATAATCCAACCTTCTTTCCCCGCTATTCTGAAATTTAAATCTTATGGCGGGAGAAACTAAACAATTTCCATATATGTTCCGGTTCGTCACCTGACTTTGCACAATTTCAAAAATTTTTAATTTTTCCATTATCGGGAAATGGATAGAATGAATGCAGAATCGGTGGATTGGATCGCTCGGATCGGCATTTTCCGTCGCGTAAAGTTTCAAATGTTGCAAAGTTCCTGCCGTAATTAGGAGCAATTTAGGCAAATCAGAAGTTCGCGCCCAACACTGCGCAAATTCTAGGCGGGTTAAATTTGCCAGATTAAGTTTAACAGGGGAGGGTAATTTTGGGCTGTTCATGAAGACAGAGGTCAAAGTTGGTGCAAAATTGAGCAAGTGTTCAAGCACAGATTGCCCCCTTTCGAGCAGGAATAACCCGCGAATATTTGGAAGTAAGGGGACCAACTGGGTTAACATGGAGAGCAGGTGGGGACACCCTTCTGGCACGTGGTACACCTTGATGAAAAGATTGTTTACTTTTGGAAAGGAAATATTAGGATTGGGCGGGAATTTTGAAACTGTATCGTCACGTGGGTCTCGAGGTGAGAGGAATAACTTGAGAAAGGTTAAATTAGGGAAGGATTTTGATAAGTGGGATAAATAGTGGAGCCACGTGGGCACCTCGCCTAAGGCCAAACTTATCTGTAAACTTTCCATCTTGCGGCCATGTTCAGAAATGAAATTTTGCCAGAGCGGGAGGAGTAATGTGGCGGGATCATCGAACGGGAAGAACGAAATATTCGTGGGACAGGATCCCCGGGCGGTGACATGTTTTGTGTAAAGGTCAATTTTTTCTGGGTCAAGGGTTATCCGGCTGATAGAGAGGAGCTTCCTCCGGACGGCGGTTTCCCACGTGGAGTTGATCCGAGTGCATGTGAGCAGGTCGCACGTGGGGAGAAAGGCAGCAATTTTTTGGATAATCTACATGTAAGACGTGCATATTGTAAGTGTCAAGGTTCCCACTATTGGTTCAACCAATTAACAATTAATTTTGCATATGTAAAAAGCATGCAAATTGGCAAATTGCATAAGATTTCTAAAACGGAAAGCAGAATTTGATTATCTCTTTTCGTTAGAAAATGACAGCACAAAATGTAGAGGAGGTGAAAAAATGAGTTTGCCACTCGTGCGAAAAATTGATTTTCTCGAATCGGAAAATGGCTCATGACCATTTCATTTTTGAAGCTATGCCCCGGACGAAATTAGACATGCAGTAGAGATATCTAAGGATCGTAAAAATGCAAAATATAAAATTTCGCCGTCTCCACGTGTCCGCCTGAAGACCAATACACTGACGAGAAACTTGAAAAAATCTTTTAGAGGCTACCCCAACATATCCGTGAGGGTTGTACGCAGACAACTAAAAATTTCAAAAACCTATCTTCGCAAGATCGAAGCCAATAAGATAGGCTTCAAAACGTGCAACATTAAAACTGCACCAAAATACAAGGACGACGAAAAAGCTGGAGCTGAAACAAATGTTCCAAAACTTTTTGAGAAAATGTTAAAATCGATTCCCAGAATTTTCTCGTCGTGGATGATGAAAACTACTGCCTTGTTGACCTCGAAGCGTCAATTGTGTAAAGTTCTACTCATGTAGAAGTAAAAATGACGTTCGTTCGAAATATAAATTCAAACCCAAGCAAAATTTCCAATGAAATACATAAAATGGCCGGACATCGACCAAAATTGGAAGGTGTCAAATCCATTCGCTTCCACGAGGAATGTGAACTTTGAACTTTATTTTAAAGAGCGTATCTTCGAAAGATTGACTTCCTCTATCAAGAACAAAAGGGCGTTATTATGGCCTGACATGGATACGTGCTAGAATGCCAAAATAGTCACAGGGTACCTTCAAGGGGAAAAAACCGATTTCGTCTAGAAAAAAGACAACGCTCCAAACGTACCTCAGCGTAGACCCATTGAAAGATTTTGGGCATTAATTAAGAAACAATATACTCAGAAAAAATTAACACCAAAAAATTTGGAAGAATTTCAGCAGGGTATGGAGATAGTCATCATGGACGTTGGGAAAACGTGTGGCAAAGCCCTCAAGAGGGGTGTGCGACAAAGTCCTCTCTCCACCTGCATGGAAGATATATTTGGACCATTGAAGGACTTCAAAACCTCCGTATACTCATCATTAGTATAACACAAAAGTTTCATTACAATTGATTCGCGCATTCATTTTTGCTGATCTAAAACGTTCTGACACTTACAATATGCGGGCGCGTCTTACATTAAAATGACGAAAGATAGTTAAATTGGTGCAATTTTAGCGATTAAAATTTTCAGTTTTTTAGTAGATGCTTTTAAATGCGTTTAAAATATTGTTTAGCATACTAAACAATATTCTACACATAAAATTGCTAAGAGGGATACATGTTTTGGACAAAATTAAGAGCTTTTGATATAGATAAAATGCATTCTGTAATATTGGGAACCATGCTTTCACCATACCATAAAATACGACTTTTTATAAGTTTGAACCTTTTTACGTCGTACAAGTATTAGGCAAATGTGCAAACATACCTCGGGAAGGACAAGGGCGAGATGAGGAATACCGTTGTCTTGGTTACCGTCCATAATAATTTGAATTAAAAATCCAATTATTTAGCTCCAGTTGTGCGATACTTGTAAAAGCAAAATTAAAAGTTATACATCTTGTTTATGAAAATAAATTTCGTTTGAAAATTGATTCACCTATGGCCTACCTGTGTAATTACTTTTAGTTTTACTATTAGAGAATCGGTCACACAGTAAAATGCAAGTTTTATTAAATTTAGTTGAAAAAGTGACGTGGAAACAGTGGATTGTCAGAGATTAAAATTCCAAATGATGGGTCAATGTTCAGTTCTGTCCATTAAACACTTCTGTGCACAGAGAACAGCCGAACAGAATACAATTTAAAAAATATTGTTACCCTTTTAAAAAGCAAATGCACTAGCAATTCCGTATTCAGTAAACTATACTTACAATGCGATGGTGTGAAGTGTAACCCTCCGATTTGGATGAAATTTCTAAATTATGTCGTCCATGTCGATACAACCAACGTTTCTTCAGGCAGTTTGTGCGATGGTCAGAATTTGGCAAAATATTTGAGATTAAAGTTGAAAAATGTGTAATTTTTAGCACGGGAAGACAATCGAAGTTGCTCCGCCTGGTAAAAACCGCCTGGTAACCAGGCGGAGGAAGCAAACCACAACTTCTATTGTCTTCCCGTGCTAAAAATTACACATTTTTCAACTTTAACCTCAAATATTTTGCCAAATTCTGACCATCGCACAAACTGCCTGAAGAAACGTTGGTTGCATTAATATGGACCACTTAATTTCGAAATTTCAACCAAATCGGAGGGTTACACTTCATACCATCGCATTGTTAGTATTAAAATCTTGAGTAAACTTTAGGCATTACTAACCCAAGGATTAAGCGTAGTTTACCAGGCATAAAATTCAAAGTCCTTTTCAACACTTTTCAAAAGGGTAACACTAAATATTGTTAAGAGTGTAATCTTAAAATAGTTTAGAGAATTAGAACCCTTTCGATATATCTGGACTGAGGACATTCCTCCCTTATTTGTAACTAAATCCATACATGGAAATAGGAAACAATCGCATTCACATTCTCCTTCGTATTTAGTAAGCATACCCATAAAATCCCTCAACGAGGATCAGACAGGGTTCCACTGACTTAAGTATTGGAAATGTTTTGTAAATTTTTCCAAAATTAATTTTACTATGTATCCAAAGTGTATGCTTGCAGATGAAAAACTTGGAATAAATGTTTACTTAAAATTATCCGTAATTTATAAAAATCATTATTGTCCATAGAAAGAAAACTTACAAATTTATGCACTAATGCATGCATGTACTTGCAGATAAATGAACTTATGATGTAACTTATTTAAATCCAGATAAGATTTTAAATCTCAAATGAAAATTCAATTTACTCATGAACTGATAGATTTTTCAAAGCTGGTTTTACATATTTAATTTATTTAGTAACAACATGTAGGGTTATAAATTTTTGAAGGAATTGAAATAACAATTACGAAATAATTAATAAATTTAATATGAAGTTATCTATCTAAATGCACTGCGTATGTACAATTAAAAGTATTTTATTATATGTGATGATAATTCGTAAGCACACTGATCCTGAGTGTATTTGCACTCCAATTATCTTTAGTTTAGTAAAATACGAAGGTTACGAAGAAAAAAGACAAGGCGTCAAGCTGAGTAAAAATCATAACATTATACATAAGTTGATTTTGTACGACAAAATTTTACGCCGCTTACAATATGTCGGAAAAGTTAAATATTCTACGAATGAATACCCCTAAAATTTCGTATGTATTGTGTTGCGAGTGATTGCGATTTTTATAATTTATAAAATTAAGATTTCTAAAATTAGAATTTCTAAAATTAGCCTGAACATATTTACAAACTTTCCTCGCCATAATTTTTACCTCGTCCCCATGGCATGACATCTCTCCACATTTGGAAACATTGCTATCACCCTGTCCCAAAAGATGGAGGCCTCCTCTGTCTCAAGACAACCACAAGAACCCGGTGGGAACGGAATGTCCAACTTCGTCACGGTCAACCCCTGCGAATTTCCATTATACAGAAACGAATCGTACAGAAAGGCCTTGCCCGTCGCAAAATATTCCTGCTCGGTTAACCCGCGTTGCCCATAATTTGAGGAATTATTTTCCATTTTGGAAATTTTGATCTTTTCCAAAACCGGGAACTGTACGGCATAATCTAACCTCTTTTCCGGATCGTTATTCTCACCCTGTTTAAATTTTAACTGAATCCCTGGCGCCACTGGCGAGTTTTCGAGCAAGGAACTGTCGACCCGTGGACTTTGCGCAAGTTCGAAAATCGTCAATCTTTCCATTATCGGGAAGATGACGGGATGCCTGCCGAATCTGTCGAATCGGTGGGACGGATCGACATTTTCGGAAACATAAATTTTCACGTGAACCAAAGTTCCCGACCCAATTCGGAGCAACTTAGGCAAATCGGAAGGTCTTGACCAACACTGGGAAAATTCGAGGCGGGTCAAATTTGTAAGATTGAGGCGCAGTGGGTTCCTTAATTTTGCATTTTTTAATAATATCGAGGTCAAAGTTGGGGCAAAAGTGAGAAAATGTTCGAGCACAGATTGCCCCCGTTCGATGCAGGAAAGCGCGCGAAGGTTTGGAAAGAGCGGGATCATTCGAGTTATCATGGCGTGCAGGTGGGGACATCCTTCCGGCACGCTGTACGAGGTGAATTCGAGATGTTTAAGCTTCGGGAAGGTGAAGTTATCCAGGGGGGGATTTGATTGAGGGGGGGAATTTGTAAGGTCGGAATTGTTTGGGAGGGAAATGAATAGTTTGAGAGAGGTCAAATTGGGGAAGGAGGTTGCTAAATTTGATAAATATTGAGGCCACGTGGGATTTCGTAAGGTTAAATTTATCTGGAGGAGTTTAATTTTGTGGCCGTGTTCCGAAGTGAAGGAAAGCCAGGCGGGTTGGGAGCATATGGCGGGATTTTTGACGCGAAAGAAACCGATATTTCGGGGACAGGAACCCCGGGCAGTGACGACGTTTGTGTAATCCGTGATGTTTTCGGGGTCGACGGTAAGCCAGCTTTGGAAGAGGAGTCTCTTGCGGGCGGCTGCTTCCCACGTGGAGTTGATCTGTGTGCACGTGAGAAGGACGGAGGTGGGGAGGAAGGTCGGGATTCTTTGTACGATCTGAAAGTTTTATACATTAAGATAGGCAACGCAAAAATAGCAATCCCCCTTTTTCATGACGTAATATATGTACGTTCTCTTTTAAGCTATTGATAAACAAATTAAATATATAAATTTATTGGTATTTAGGAATCAAATCCGAAAATCCCTAATAATGCCAAAAAATGTTACCCAGCCGGGAATCGAACCAGGGCTCCCTTAAATTCATGTCAAGTGCTCTGACCACTGAGCTACTATTTATGGCAATTAATAACATTATTGGGGCTTTTACTGATCTTTGTCTGTGGCCTTTCGGCTGGGTATAAACTTTTGGATTTATTCGGGATTTTCGTATTTGATTCCTAAATAAATTCGGTTTCCACAAGGATAGAAGTAGTGTTAAATTTATAAAATTATGGGTACTTTAATTAGTAGATACAGGGAGGTGTCAGGCTACAATGGAAAATTTTGCAATGGGGAAAATCCTTAAATTTCCATTAGTTACTGAAAGTTCGTCTCTGAAATTGAACATTTTAAGAATTTTGGCATCAGTGTTCCACCAGTTTTGATAATAATTAGCACAAATGTCAATCCCAAATCGTGTAACTAATGGAGATTTGTGGGCTTTTCCCATTTGAAAAATTGCTCATTGTAGCGTAACGTTTAAACCACCCTGTATATGCACATTTGTTATTCATCAAATTTCAGAAGTTTTTTTTTATAAAAGTTAAGTATTTCTTGCAAAATACATAAATAAATATCTACATCTGTCCAAACTTACTTCTGGCAGTAAAACGGCGAGATGTGGATTATTATCACGGTAGTCGTTGGTACGGGCCATAGCAATTTTGATAAAAAATCCAATCCAGTTATTGAAATAGCTCCAGTTGTACAGCAGTCCTAAAAAAATTGCAGTTACACTGTAAATAATCTGGTAATAAACATTACCGAAAAGCACAACTATATGACTTTACCAAAGTGGTAATGATAAGTTGTACCGTGTGGTAGTGGTTTGGTAATAAAGTTTTACCATCATGGTAACGAATTTTTACTACCTGGTAAAATATTATTACCAAATTTATTACCGATAAATCATTACCTGTGTGACTTTACCGGATTATTAAGAGTGTACGTATTTATCTCGAGTTAGTAAAATAATTAAGTTGCATACATACGTAGTGAAGTCACCACCCGATAATTGTGAATTGTGAACAGATTTAATTATGCAGATGGTGTATGTACCCTTTTTTAATGTTTCCGAGAAGTTTTTCTAAAAACAACTGGGCGAGAAAGTTACGTGGGAACACCACCACCGTGTGTGCCGGATGAAGTTCATGCTACAAATGATGACTGAATGATTCATTCTTTCCCCTCCACACATACATACATATGTACTTATGTACTAGAGTAGAGTCGGTTCTACACTTTTTCTGATCCAGCCGAACCGGATCCGAATATTTGGGGTACAATATCCGTTTGAACAGATGATGAGAATTTCGGATGAAAAATATCAATTCAGACCGAGACTGGATATTTGGGATGAAAAATACCCATCCGAGCCGAGTCTTCATATTTTGGATGAAAAATATCCACGCATATTTTTCGGATGCGAACAGTCTGAAAAATATCAATTCAGACAGAGTCTTCATATTTCGGATGAAAAAATGTCGATCCGGCCCGAATCCCAATTTTTCGATTGGAGCATAGCTATCCGATTATTTTGGTTGAAAACAATTTCTCTCTGCACCAAATCCGAATATCTCGGGCGTAAATTAGCTATCCCAACCGAATCCGAGTTTTTTCTGTAGGAAGATACATATAAATATGCACCCGAACCAAACCCGAATTTTTTAGTTGAATACACACCCAACCCCGATGATTCGGATTCAATTTGGATGGATAATTTCTGGAAGTCGGATAGCCGACTCAACTCTAATGCATCAATTCTAGCAAGTACAAGGACAACATATTTACATACAAATGTATTTAATGGGGCACAAAATTCGAGCCCTTTTCCTCCATAAATATCTATTCAGGTCAATGCTCCTTTGTTTGCTGCTACGCGAAGATTGGAGACAAGGGACCATCCATACATAACGGCATACATAAAAAATTCTCGACTACAGCACCCAACGTGCACATTAAGAGATATGGAATTTTATCATGGGAAGGATAGGAAGAACTACTAAACCCGCTAGAATGATGACGTAATATATGGACGTTCCCTTAATCACAATTGTAGCGTAGTAACCCTTTTTATCCTAAAATGTATGTCTCAACCACGATCAAAGAAAACCTCTTTGTAAATATATAATCCATCCTGATGGAAATGTACACATTTTTGTTAGAAAATATGAAAATACGCATCAATTATCTCTCAATGAGACTCAATGCCGAGTTAAAAAACAATTTTTTTTTGTACTTTTTAAAAAAAATTTGAAATCTACAAATTTTTTGGTTTATCATCGCTCATGGAAAGCGTCTTGTGCTAAAATGTGATTACCTAGATAAGTTAAAACGACGAATGGTTTGAATATTTATGATGAAAACAATTGTGAAATATTTACTTTAATAAAACGAGTATGAATAAAAACGGCATAAATACAGTATATATTAATGCAGAAATATTTTATTATATTTGAACACACATATTTACATATTTATGTAATTCAATTACAGTAATTGTTCTTGTATCGTGAAATGGTGTAAGTACAAATTTTAGGGTTTGTTTGTTACACGATTTTCAATAATAAATCTTGCGACGCTTGCCAAATGTCGTAACTGGTGAGCCATATTTTAAGATATTTAGAGTATTAAGGGTATTCATTCATACGACTAATATTTATTTAGTACCAATTGTATCATCCATGTGAAATTTTGTAGTTTTTCTAACAAGTTCGCAAATTAATTTTTTTGCTTTTTTTTGCGACGTTGGAAATTTAGTTTTATTTGCTAATAAAAAATAATAATGCTACCAAATCGCCATGAGTACCCCCAAGATACTCGAATTTGTACATTGTTTACTATCTATGCAGTTTGTATCCGTAATAAATTGCACCATTTGTTAGTTACTAATCTGGTAGTTTAAATAGTTTACGAAGTTAATATTTGGATAATATATGTATATACATCTACACTCTTAAAAATAACTACCATTTTGAACAGCAAATACAGTCTGAATTATAAATTATTTGTGGAAATTAATTGCACTAAATTCAGGATAAGCTTTGACCTTTCTCCAATTACGTATCGTTACTTTGGATTTCGCATACTTTGCGAATATTGAATTCAGAGTGTGTTTACTACGTTTTCAAAAGAGTAATTTTTAAGAGTGTATCCATGATCATAGCCATGCTACGGAGCGACTTGCTGTAAGAATTCAGGATCTGCATGGATAACATATTTATTTATGCATTTATTTCCTATTTCGAAGAGAAGGATCGATCTCCAGTATTTTTCTGGTGAGGAGATAAATGCACTCGGAGTGGTCGACGAAGGGGAGGTTGTAAAGTTTGTACGCGATCGCGGGAACATTTCCGGGCCCCAGTTTTCTTAGCAGAGCTTCCAGCTCTTTCTCGGGGTCCTGGAATGTATGCAAATATTTTTTTTTGTAAATTGAAATTATTTATTGAACGAATTTGTAAGAATTTTCCTGCTGTGAATTTATATTACTTATTTACTAGCTACGCTCGCCCCCCGGCGCTCTGCGCCTCGCTAAGATATGAGATGGAGACCCATAACCCAAGAGCAATATCCGCCCTCATAATCAAATAGTACGATGTTCCAACTTCAAGTCCGAACGTACACATTTTGCCAATATTCCTAGTATTAATTAGTCGTTTTGCGAAATTATGGCAATTTTTCCGATTTGTTGATTTTTTCTTTCAAATTACGAATTAACCAATCATCATAAGCAAATAATAAGGGAAATGAAAATGTTTTTTAAAATTCAAATTAAAAAATATCAGAACTTATAACAGGCTCTTACACAGGGTTCGGAAAACCCCGGAGTTTTTCCAGAAACCCCCAACCCCGGGGGTTTTTCCGGGGTTATTGGGGTTTTTGTGGGTTTTTGTAGATTTTGGGGCAGGTTGAACCAAAATTCCAAAAATTATGTATTAGGGAAAAACTTATTTAATATACGAATTTATCCGGCATTTCTAATTTCCACCCCACCCACACCAAATCCACCCCCGAAGTGGGGGTGGATTTGGGTGGGGGTGGAATTATGTATAAATGCCGAAGTTATCGTGAAATTTTAATTAAGCATTATCATTTACTTGGACAGTCCAAGTTGGACTGTTGAATCGAAAATTCTTGTTTAACATGTAAATATGAAAATATGCAATGATACTTGGAAATTCAAGTAGCACATAAAAATTGCCAAAACTTCACGATGAATCTGACTATTTAGTTAGGATTGGTCTAACAAGGGAACCTTAAGTACTGTCATCACTCGATTTCCTTCCAAATAGCCTTAATCGACAGATAATTTAGTGAAACTAAAACTTTGTCATAGAACATGCGTTGCAAAATCGCGTTTTCGCGAAATATTTAGCGAGAGCTGCACCAAAACCTGGCATTTTCCCAATGCTTTTAATATAGCCAGCAGCTTTTTCATGAAGTTTATATGTAGAATATTGTTCAACCTGTGCGTACATACCTGTGCGCTTAATTTCAAAGCTGATCACGAATACTGATGTCATGTTTGCCAATTTTTGCAAACTTTTTTTTGCAAAATTTCGCAAATTAAAATTTTGTCATACTCACAAAATTTGCTCTTTTTTGCAAGGTTTTTTAAAAACTCATTTTACTAATTTCGAAAAATTTACGAACATTTGCAAAAATTGAAATTTACATTAAATTTACATCGTTCAAATTTTTCATGAAAACACTTAAAATAACTAATCCTTTTTAATTTTAAGCAATTTTAAAAATTATTTCCCATATTCATTTTTGCAAGTTGCAAAAAAATTGCAAATATTTGCAACATGAAAAATAAATTTTATCACTTACACATTTTGCAAAATTAAAAAAACAACCAAATTTAAAATTGCGAAATTTTGCAAAAAGTTTGCAACAAATGGCAAATATTTGCATCAGCTTATAGCATACTCGTGATCAGGCTTGAAATTACACGGACAGGTTTATAATTAATCAATATTCTATAAAGTTCGTTCGAAGGCTGGTGGCTATATTAAAAGCATCGGGAAAATGACACGTTTTGGTGCAGCTCTCGCAAAATATTTCGCGAAAACGTGATTTTGCACCGCATGTTCTATGACAAAGTTTTAGTTTCACTAAATTATCTGTCGATTAAGACTATTTGGAAGGAAATCGAGAGGTGACAGTACTTAAGGTTCCCTTGTAAGTCGTAGTTTAAGCGATTTTGTTCAATCTGCCTTAAAATCTTACAAAAACCCCGCAAAAACCCAGCAAAAACCCACAAAAACCCCGCGAAAACCCACAAAGACCCATTTTAACATTAGGGGTTTTCCGGAGATTTGATGCCCCCCAAACCCCCAAAAACCTGGGGTGGCGAACCCTGCTCTTACGTGGCGGATGTTTAGAAAAATCTAAAAGCCTTAATAGTTGGAAATTAAGTGTCGTAACCCAGTTACTTGAAGTATACTACCTGAAAGCAATTTTTAAAAATTAGGTGAACACAATTTTTGCTCTGAATTACTTCTATAAAATTACAAAAATTCATTTAAAACAATAATTTTATTTAAAAAAATTATTGGTTTTAGCATTTTAAAAAATTCAGAAATGGCATTAATATATCAAATTTTTAATTTTTTTTCAAATTTAAGGGAAGTTATTCTGAGCAAAAATTGGGTTTAACTTTTGAAATCGGATTAAAATTCGAAAAGTTACTGCGTTATTAAAAATTTGAATTTATAATTTTCTTGTCGAACAGCAGTGAAACAGAGCATCGAGTGTGTATAATTAATAATTAACTCAATGTGTGCATATGCATGCGTATGCACTCAATATAAAGTCTATATATATAGTCACGTAATATATGATGCACTCAATGCACTCATTGCGATGTTGCCGGTGCTAGTGACAGGGCGGTTGGCTGAGTCGGGGAGCGCATGGAGAGCGAGAGCATGTGGCAACCTCGCAGTCAACCAAGACCACGGGTTCTACCTTAATAGTAGAGATTAGAAGGAAAAGCTACTCTTAACAATAATGTTACCCTTTTGGGCAGATTTTATAAAGCATACTATGTAACTCCAGAGGAACGCTAAGTTACCAAGGAGCAAACTTTACTATGGATTTTGTCGTTTTTACTGATTGTTAGTTTTCGAAAAGATAACATTATTTTTAGCGTTGCCCCGGGTACCGGGTAGCTACCCGGTACCCGGCCGGGTATACTTAAGTACCCGGTCTACCCGGCCGGGTAATTTCAATATTCAATTTTCTTACTTAAAATGCGAAACCTTATAAAAAATTTAATCCAATGGATTTTATTCTAATTCTTGCTATAAAATAATACGTTCGGAAAGAATGGTCAACCTTGGCCAACACTTATTCGGAAATTATCATACGCAATTTAAAATTACTTTGAGCGCATTCATGTCAACGAATTATGAATCAGGTTCATTTATGCAATAAATGAAGGAATAAATAAATGTATCATGAGCCTGAGAAGTTGAAATTGATACCATATGTTTACTGGACAAAGATATAGGAAACAAGTTCGAAGATAGGCTACATCGGTCACCTAGATGACCTGTGGGGTTCGTATTGGACTGGGGGAGCAAAATGTAACCACAGTGAGTGTAACCATGGAGAAGGCGACCCATACTGTCCCATACCAATTTTTACCAAATATTACTTTGATCTGAAATTTTGTGTGGAGGTTAAATATGAAGTCTGCACTGCAGAAATTTAACTTGTAATTTTTAAAACTTATAAAATTGTTGCAAATTCTAGAAAAAGTAGAAAAATTCCCGTTATTTTTAATATATTAATATTACCCGGTACCCGGCCGGGTAGCCGGGTACCCGGCAAAGATTTTAGGCCGAATACCGGGTAGCCGGGTACCGGGTAGTAGCACTACCCGGGGCCATAGATCGGAGTACTCCGGGCTTGGAGTACGTACTCCGGCCTCCGGAGGCCGGAGTACGCAGCTTTTTCTGGAGGCCGGAGTACGCGGAGGCCGGAGTACACGTGGCCAGCCGGAGGCCGGAGTACGCATGGCCGGCCGGAGGCCAGAGTACGCAAAATTTCCGATCGCATAGATAGGAGAATTCCGGGCTTGGAGTACGTACTCCGGCCTCCGGAGGCCGGAGTACGCGACTTTTTCTGGAGGCCGGAGTACGCGGAGGCCGGAGTACGCGGAGGCCGGAGTACGCGAAATATCCGATCTATGCCCGGGGCAACCCTAATTATTTTTAAGAGTGCAAGGGAAAAGTATGCTTGGATTTTTGACAGATTTTAATAATCGATTTAATAAATATTATGTATTTATTGGGGAATACGTACCAGTTTTTCTGGAATTGGTGTAAACGGCCAATCGTTATCCTTATCCTGTGGTATTTAAATGAACATGGAAATTATGTAAATCGGTACCTCATTCACTCTAACGTTTATAACTTGGTAATTTTTGAACCTTATTAGAAAGATTCTTATTTCAATTTGTAGAAATGGACAATGATTTGATTGAAATTATGTTCATGTTTTATGCTTAAGCCGCATATCACTTTCCTAACTTTTTAGGATTTAAAAATTTACAAAGGTTGGCGTGAATTGTATACATACATACTCTGTTTACATACATGTACGTGCATACTTGTTTAATCTTAAGAATAAAAGTATGTACCTGTATGTTTGAGGCATCGTCAGATTTCAGGGACAATTCTGAGTGGGAGGAGGCAGTCGTTCTTTTTTTGAATTTCTTCTTACGCTTTCGAGTCTTTAATTTTTCCGTTTCGCTCATTTTCGAAATTTGAATTTTACATTTTTAAGTTTTCCTAACGTATTTACTCCTTTATGTATCGGAGTTTTAAACAATTCAATCAAACTGTATAATAAATGTGTTCTGTAGATCGTTAATTTCCCAAATTTTGCAATGTGCAAATAGAAATAATTAGTTTTGATTAGAACATGATTTCGTGACACTGGAACCTTTCACTTATTATTTTTTTAACTGTGAATTTATTTATGACATGCAATTTATTGAAAATTAATTTACTTTTAATAATGCATGAACTCTTTAGCAAGTAACAAAATGTTGTGAAACGTTTAAATCGGCTTTTCAATTGTGAACATAAAGTTTTGCCCAGTCTTCAAAATTTCATGGGTTTGACGCGTGTCTGCATTTTATTTTTTAAATATTTTAAGCAATTTTATTTTATTACGTGAACGATGCGTTGTGATTCTACTCGTGTTCAGCAGCTGTTTACTATAGCAGCCTACTCACGGGCCTTGTTACCCGGGTAACACAGTTATCCGGGTAGCAGGTTAAGAACGTGCGTACACACTCTTCGCATGTATGTAAATATGTAGAAATTTTATCCCGATATTTCCTTGCATCACGAGCTGTTAGTTTTTGCATGTGTGTGTCGCAAAAAAAGTTCCCGTTACGAATTTGCATATACCCGAACTTATGTATTACAATGTGCGTGAAAATAAATTTTGCGTACAAATGGATAATTAATGAAGCTTTAATTTTAATTGCGCAAGTTTTTTAAAAATTTGTCGATAAAATTTTTCAATTAATTAATATTTTACGCGTACATACATATGTACATATTTAAGAAATTGGGCTTAAATACAATCTAGTGGAAATTTGTCGACTCTAGAATAAGGTTATGATAACATAATTTTAAGTGCGTGGCTCCGAAACCTTATTTGGGGATGTCCCCATATTATGTCATTATTTTGGGTGGAGTGGTTGTTAAAATTCCAAATCCCTTAATATATTTATACGTTGGGTGTGTGGGTGCTAAAAGGGAGAATTTTTGAGGACGTAATGTATGGATGACCCCTTTCCCAACTTTCGCTTTTGATACGCATTTACATACATACACACGCTACTAAATACGTACTAATATTCGACGAGAAGATATTTGAAATATATTTGCGATAAAGAAATATTTTTTCTTTGTTAAATAATAATTGGATTTCAAAAACATATACTCATTATTCATTCATTCAAAATTTATTGATATATGTATTTATTTGTGCTACTTTTCATTTATAGTTTGAAGAAAAAACTAAATTAAATGAACAAACGCTACTGGATATAATTCCAAATGTAATTTTGGAGTAGTGTTTAGAATCTGGTATACCTATATGAATTTGGGCAAGGGATTGCCAAATTGTATAATTTTTGAAAATTTCTAATTGTAATTCCCGCTATATGTTACGTGTAAAATGGTGAATGATAAAGCTTAGAATTTTGTTAGAATATAGTATGTGCTTATGTAAAATTATGACTTACCGAACTTAAACCTTTGCCAGGGAACTTTTCGAGTAAATATGACTTTTTTAAGCTAGTATGTTGGTAACCTAGGCAGCAAGGCTTAGACAAGTTGGGGAGGCTTGCGAATCTTCATTTCAACTTTCTTATAGGAATAGTCAGAACCCTTCCAGTGGTGCCATAACACTCCTACCAAAGATTTCTGTACGATGCTCGAATTACGATATATCGAGTTCAGATTGGCCTATAAACAATATAAACAAATTCTGATAAAGAAACGGGCGCTGTTTTGATGGATAGTGTATAACTTACGCACATTAGAGCACGCATTATACCACCAGCCACTGCGGTACTCTTGGGCACAATTACGGTATTTGTATCCGTCGTTATCATTGTCACTTTTAGTGAACTGAGAACCATTATGGTAATTTAATGAATCGCCTGCAAAATACAGAATAGAAGTCAGACGTATGTAGATAACTTGTGCATATGGACCGGATGTGTTCACATTTGTGTACACATCCACATATTATACATGGTGGCGAAAAAAATATCTGACCAGTCTAGAAAAGCTCCCCATTTTATAGCTTATCGTGTTTTTAGGATCTAAAAGAGCTGAAGTGCTTTTTGGGATACCCGAAGGCAGATTGACTCTAATAAATGGATAATTGAGTGAAAGATTTTCTTCCCAATCGTTTAACTCTGCCAGTGACTAGGCTTTCCCACGGGACGGGATAATCCCGTCCCGTCCGGACGGGACGCGGGACGGGACTCGGGACGGGACAAGATTTTTCGTCCCGAAGAAACTCGGGACGGCACAAGATTTTTCGTCCCGAAGAAACTCGGGACGGGACGAGGTCATCCCGTCCCGGTTCATGCCGGAGTGTGCCAGAAATGGAGTGTTAATGGAGTGCCCCAGAAAAACAAACGGATGAAAACGCATGGAACGAAGGGGTGAATCCTTTGTGTGAAACTTCTACGTCGCTTTGGTGTGAAACTTCTAGCATTTATGACATGGGAGCTGGAAATCAATCACCTGCAGTTCCAGTGTATCCAGCAACCGTGAGTCTGTACTTATCTTGGGTACCCGTGACTTTGAAGACGTCGTACATCGCGTACCTCTTCTCCCCATTCCAATCTTCCAGATCCACCCGCAACTGTGTATACCCCTCCATTGTGAGTTCATGGATGGTTTTCAAACCTGGATTAGATAGGAGTCAACGCAAATTTGCATAATTTTCCACACTTAGCAAAATCAAATTGGTTTAACCTAGCCAAAAATCTCCTCCAAGGCTGCCAAACCCATTCTCGTAGACAATCCAAATTCTTTCGAAATTGGTCCTCTCCGTCCCTGGTGGGGTAGAGGTTCCTCTTCGTTGAACTATGACCCACTCCTTGTCACAGAATATCTATTTGCAAATATATTTATTATTAAATATTCACTACTCTAGAAAGTACCCAGATATCCAGAACACAAAAAATTCAGCACAACACAACAAGATATAATTAATATTACACGTTGATTCCGAAATGTTGAATCAGTAAGATTGTTGTCGTCACCGCAGGACTTTGGTGGTTCCTTGTAAAACTCCGGGTAAGTCTGGTAGATATTTATATAATAAAGTATTATACTATCAGTAATTAAAGAACTTCACTCAGACGTTGTTAAGTTCGTTAACCTCTTACATACATTGTTAATATGGTACTTCAAACTTTCAACTTCAGTCAAGATGGTGGCCACACCTTCAAATAAGTTGGAACTGGTTTTTCTTATCTCCTCCAAAGTTGTATCCTGATCCCTTTGAACAATTAATAGTTGCTCCACAAAGTTGCAGCTCTCATTAAAAGAAGACTAGAAAACGTGATAAGTTTCTAATTTCAGGGTAGCATATTTGATTTGAATTAGATTTTGTAAACATTACATTTTAATATTTAACTAAAAGAGCAAGTGAATCCCGAAATACGCAACTAAAACTTAGCCTGATCCAGAGAGTGATTCAAGATATGTACAAATCCCACTTTTATTTGTTTCATTAGAGCTTTATGACTCGTTGTATAATTTTGCTAATTGACTAAACATCTTGCCGTTTATTTAGTTTGTCTAACGAGATGCTATCGATTATTATACATCATTTTCACTCTTGACACTTTGTTGGACTAATTTTTTCCCACCTTTTCCCCATAGTCTGTTTAGAGCCTCAGCCTTCTGCTTGAAATCTCTATATCAAGCACCCGTATCCAAAATTAATTTAGAATGAAGTCAGGTAGCTCATCAAGAGTAACTTCATTTCCAAATTTCTTTCCGGAGAAGTGTTTTTTATACGGTTGTTTGCAATCTTTCGCTAACTCATCATCAATGCTTCATTCAATTCACCAATTCAATAGGGCAATTCATCTTTGGATAACTCACTTACAAGTACCTCGGATCAAGCCAGGGGACGTCTTGGTTCACAAAGCAAAGAGATTGGTGACTATGCAGTTTACTAACTGCTCCTTACCTAACTGAACCACACATGTAAATTTTAATGATCCCAGGCGTCTCTATCACTTGTTATATCAAAAAATATGTAAAAGTGAGTTTTGTATCTTGAATGACGCTCTAAATTATCATATGGATATGATTACAGCGTCTGATTGTCTACGTTGGCTGATACAAAGTACGCAAATAAAGTAGAATGTTAATTTCCGCAAAGGCGAAACACATTTACCTTTTGCTCTTCTGATACCAGCATATTCGATTCGTTGTCTTTAGAATAGTCTAAAACCTGAAAAGATAACACATAAATACATAATTCGAAATGCTGGTAATTAAATCCAGGTGCTTGCCCCGCACTGCTACGGGACCTTGATTAAATCCGGGGTACTAATTAAGCAAAAACTTATAGCTTTGCTTTATGTATCGATTTGTAACCCTCCAGTTAATTTTATATCGATGCAAATTTTCTATAATCATACGTCAATGGATCTCCGCCATGTTCGACTGGTAGTTTTGCCCTGGTCCATACCGGACGTGACAAGTGCTTCCGAAAAGACACGTTCGCTATAAACGCTTGTTATTTTAAAATGGTAAATTTTGAAGTGGACAAATAATAGAATAATACTTCTGTAAATATAAGGCTTGATGAGTTTCTAACTTCGTTGGTAAGCCAATTTATAGCCAAAATTGAATAAAAACTGATCTACCCGTACCCGTGCGGGTAGTTGTCACTACCCGCAGATAACGGGTACCCGCAAAAATCGTGCGGGTATGCGGGTAACGGGTACCCGACCCGTTACCCGCGGCAACCCTAGTAAAATGTGTGTTGTCCTTACGAAATCAACCTGGGACCGGGATTTCAAAGTCGTGTTTCAGCCTTGTAATGAATGCCACACCCTTCAAATTTGTGTTCCTACATCACGAATTTTGTGGATTGAATTTTGTGGATTGTCAATGCCATTAAATCTAGGTCTTATCTGTGAATGTGCGCTTATCGTCGCCTTCCGCAGGGGTCCAAATAGTCGAAAATCTATGCTTCTAACCAGTTTTGCGAAGTTTAACTCATATCACGTGGGTTAAAAAGCGTTTTATACTGACCCCTGTATGTCTGACGACCCTCCTTTGTCATGCTGGGTTAGTCCCAAAAGTGGTTATCAAAGTATTATCATTCTTATGAAAGTGTAGCGTTCATAGATGCGCGTTTGAGCTAGACACTGACACTTTGTCCACTGACACTCGGACAAAATCAGTGGCACTGACACTGTGTCCACCGACACTCGGCCACAGCGAGTGGCACTGACACTGTGTCCACCGACACTCTGCCACAGTGGCTGACACTGACACTTGTCCACCGACACGCGGCCATAATGAGTGACACTGACACTGTGGACGGCACCGAGTGTCCGCCACAGAGTGTCCGCGCATCTGTGGTAGCGTTGCGAGATTTAGGCTCGTTCAGATTTCATACTAAAACTTTGCGATT